GGCAACAGCTGGTGGGCCAACAGTTTGACAATCAGCCTAGCAAAGGAATGTCAAAGACCTTGCTTTCCTAATGATCAGCTCAAGACAACCTGTATCACTGCTTGACTTTACTGGATCCCAGGATAGCTGGTTTGTGCATACTGCTGCTTCACAGTTTGACTTTTTACCAACCAACCTAATAGCAGCCTAGCAATTTGGAACTAAGGTGCATGGGGTGAACCATGCACTAATAAACAAAACTACATCAGGTACATGCGCAGTATAATTAACCTGAATTCAGTAAAAATTTACACTGATGTCTTTCTTGAGTTATTTATATTATTAGATTCTTAGGTTATTTAGTACCATGTTGCAAAGGTTTTATTTCTCCATTTTATGATATTAGTCTTCTGAAATATATCACCGCTGTGTGAAAATTTATGGGAAGAATACCTTTTATGGCTTTCCAGAGTATCTTTACTAGGGAAAGTATAGCTGTAACTGTTTATTACATTTTAAGCATGACATAGCTAGTACCTGTGTTGTTGCATAACTGTACAGAAGGGTAATATAAAGCTGTATAACTCTGCAGTGTTCACTGATATGCAAAGAATATGCAAAAATATATTGGTATCTCTTCGTTTGTGGAAAGAAAATTTCCCTTGCCAACTGAATTTTGATGCACTAGTAAACAATCAATGAGTTGGACTGTGCTGGATGCTTTGTGTCCCATATAAAAGTATTTCTAAAACCAAAGGTTCGTAAAAGAAAATGATCAACAAATGTTCTGTCATAGTACCAGATACCTTGTCCTGCCATGAAAGTCAGAGTAAACTGCAGCTCTTGAATTCACTCTGAGTGAATTATTCCTCTTTATGTCCTTAATATGTCCTCTGTAAAAACTAGACAGAGCTCAAGGCATTAGGTGAAATATTTCCTCTGGGTTCATAGACAACACTAGAGATGCAGCCGGGAACTAAAGTGGTATTAAACCCAAAACCAAAAAGGTAAAATGTAATATATTGCAGCTTACCAAGCATTAGATGTGGTGGCTACATTAGTTTTAATTTTTAAGCTTTTCCCACTCTGTTTTTACCTGGTGATCTGGCCAGTCTTGTGTATGAGAGTGCCACCAATCTGTATGAATGAGCACAGGGGCACCATTTGAAAAGCTGCATTGTCAGTCTGCGGAAGGAGAGTGTTAAATGGACTAGCAGATTTACATACTGTACTTCAGTAGCTGGCTCCAATTTATGTTTCTTTTTATCCATAAAAAGTCTAAAGAACATCTACATCTGTCTAAATTTGAATTATCTTGTTCGGGTAGGTTAGCTGCCTTCAAAATCTTGATCCTTTCACAAATTTTTTATTTATTTAGGACACTGCCCATTCCCTTCAAATCTCACCATTTATGATCCTTACACTCCATGACCAAAAAATTTGTATGGCAAAATAAAAAAGCCTGGTGCTCCTACATACAATTGGTTAATGAAAACAAACAAGGGCGCACTCTCGTTGTGCATTACCGTGGTAAACCACGTATTTTATTAAATAAAAAGGATGTATACTCACAAACCAACGTGATTATAGGCAGTATGAGTGATCCACAAAGACAGTCACAATACAACTGTGTCTAATGATGCCTATAATCACGTTGGTTTGTGAGTATACATCCTTTTTATTTAATAAAATACGTGGTTTACCATGGTAATGCACAATGAGAGTGCGCCCTTGTTTGTTTTCATTCACCAGTGGTCAGATTTCCCGATCTCAGAAGGGCAGCACCTCTTCGATTGGCATTTTGGCAGTTCCTTGGTTTGCATGAAGATTGGAGCGCTGGTTTCGTTTGTCTATCTCTTGGAGTGGATACAACTGGTTAAACATAGGAGAGCTGGCGGTATGGGCTTTGTTTACATCAGTGACTACCACCTAATGGTCCAACTAGGTCAGCTCGTATATTGGATTAGACCACCTACCAGTTCAAATATCATTAGAGTGGAGAGCATTCCACTCCCTCTCCTCCTTTGTGACCACATCCTTATGACCCTGGAAGAGCTGGAGGCGTAATACAGACCACCATTTACTGAGCACTACAATTATTTACGAATAATTTCCTCTCTGTAGTTCCCCTTCCTATTTTCCATATCCACCTGAAAATGTGGCAGTTCTAGAAGTCTCCTTTTACCTATACATAAGAGCATCCCCCTTTCTCACAACTTATTTCAGAACAAGTAGTTATTTACTAAAACACAATCTTTTAAAATGGGAATCTGACCTTACAGCTCTGAAGCACAAAAATTAGCATTGCAATGGTACTATACCCCATTTCTCCCCCTCTTGCTTTCCTCTATGCTGGCAGGGTTGTAGTCAGACAGGAAACTTAATGCATACTTTATGGTCTTGCAAAAACGTAATTAGTTTTTGGTGGAACATTTTCCAAATTATATCTGAGAGCACTTGTTTAATGGTTTTCCCCAAGCCATCTTTAGCCATTCTCAACCCAGAGACTGATGATTTCCCAGTTAAAGTGTTACTAAAACAATTGCATTTTCATGTTCTGTGTACTGTGGGAGACCTGATATAGTGGATGCAGTGTCCTGGGGTTAGTAGCTATAAACTGCTAAATGCCTTTTTCCATCAGCAGTATATAGCAGTGTCTGGCTGAGCACTGGTTAATCTTGTAAGATGAGTTTTTCTTTCTCCTCTGACTGTCCAGTGAGGCTGCATGACTCCTTACCCTCTTGTCTGGACAGTGCTGGTTGGCCCTCTGTTGATCCCATGCACCCTCCCAGAAAAAACAAAAACAAAACCTCTCTATCAATACACACCAAACTGAGCATGCACAGAGTGTCCCCCCAAGGCTCTGTATCAGCAGATGGATTTTGACACTGTGGGAGAAAAGGAGGATCCGAGAAGACAAGATCAAACATCCTTTTTACATAATGCGGAAAATTAACCCCTTAGGTTCCACAGTGAGTATAGCAAGCATGCCTAACTGCATACACAGACTGTTATTACTGTTGTGGGTTTAGTAACACTTTAACTACCATATAACAGTTACTCACATTTTGTTAGTGACTAGAAATATAACCAGAGATCGGAAACGGCAATTGGCTCTTAATCCACCCTAAACTATAACTATAGGTAATACATGCTACCTGTACGAACAAATGTAGGCTCTATGGAGAGATATTTCTCTTACATTAGAAAATATGTGGAAACCCTGGACTGCTTAGATTAATAAATTATTTCACTATGTGATGGCTTTAGCTATTGATGTTACGTGGAACACTGCAGATTCCATTTTGTTCTCTTCCTCAAACTTATCTTATTTTTACCAGTGTTATACTACTGTAATAATTAATATTGTATCTTTTTATGAACTCCAATAAAAAGTTATTTTGGAAAAAAATAGAATGAATCCAAAAAAATAAAATGAATGCAGCCATCTCATCTAAAAAAGGGTAAGCACTATAATAAATGCTTGCTTTTTGGTTTAATACCGCTTTAAAACTCGCCCTGCACCATCCAAGCCTGTGGTGTGAACCCAACAGCCATTTTAAAAATCTAAAACAAAGTCCTGCCAGAGAAACAAAAATGTATTGACTAATGGCTTTAATGTCTGGAAACCTTTGTGTGCACCCCTCTGGTTTAGTTTTATTTTGTTCAGATGGAGCCCTTAGTGGGCATTAAAAGCACATCTACTGGACAGCATATTGGTGGATGGGGTTTGACCCAGAAGTCCGGTTCCTGGAAACAAAGCAAAACTGAATCAGATATACACAGAGGATTTTCTGGCTAATAGGTACCTTGTGGGACAGTGTATCTCCTTACTTAAAGTGGCCTAAGAACAGATTGTGTTTACATATATTGTTGTATAGTATATGCTCAAGGAATTATTGTCACAGTGGCAGATCTACAGATGCATGGGTTCCAGTGCCAATTTTGGAGTGGGCTTTACCGGTCTACCTGGGTGCCTGCCACGTAAAAATTTTTCTTTTACTGCAAAGTACACCAAAAGAAATAGTGCAGGGAACACAGGGAATGGGGCTATATGGTTCCTGCATCAGTCTTAATGACATCAAAGCTCCCATGCATGCTTGATGGAGAGGGTGCTTAGGCTCCTCTGTTGCTAGCTAAATCCCTGCAGCCTAGATCAGTCCCCAGAGCCTCTTCTCCCCCATACTCTTGGAGGTCTAAGGGTCTTCTGATGTTGTCAAGACTGATGAAGGAACCATAGCCCTGCACTGGATGTGAGGAAGCAGAGGGAGAGTTCACTTCCAGAGTGCCATCTGCTGCAGGAGCGGAGGATCAGTATATTGTCCCATATCTGGTGCGAGATGGCGGCCTGAGGAGTGCTGAGTGGAGATACTTGTGACTACCTGGTGTGCTGGCTGATCCCCGACAGGAGCTGAGTTGTGACCCATCTATCCATCTGTCCATTGAGTGTTCTCTACCTTAAGCACTTTAGACCTTTAGATTCTTGTAAGAGGCTCTGATATCCCTCTTGGTGGCGCACACTTGGTTGAATAGTTGACGCGCAAGATGTTTCTGGGTATTTCTAGACGTACACATAGAGCACCTTGATTTTTCCAGCACATGACTGCAATTGGTTTTCCTCTTTCTATGAACTTTTTGGGATTATTTATTTGTCCATTATTTGAGTGTACTTGAAATGTGGATTTATTTATTAATGAATTTATTATGATGTGAACTGTTTTTATGCACTTTATTATATTAGATTCACTTGTTTTATGTATTAATATACAGCGCAACACATTTTGGTGAATTTATTTTGTATTGGTATGTGTAGGTACAGTGCTTGCTGCTTTCCTCCATTGGATTTCTTCTGATTTCTTGGTTTTGATTATTTGTAATACTTTTCGTGTAGGATATCTTTGCTGTTATACTTTAATAGATGGAAAGCACTTCATCTTTGTAATATTAATGGTAAAGATGTCTAGTGATACATATAGATATGCATACTATGTTTGGCATTAACAAAACTTTCCATTGAACAGACTGTACTCAAGGAACACGCAGATGATGATCAGAATCTGGCCATTTCTGGAGTACCTGTCGTGTCTTGGCCTAAGAAACCTGCCAAGGTGAGTCTTAAATCAGTTTGTATAAGATATATATATGTTTTTTTAGAAGGTTTTTCCTGTTTAAAAGGAAAACCACCCTGACAACACAATACCCCCCCGGCCTCTTCAGCCATATAGGTGGTTCTAAAGGTAAATATAATGACCGTGGTTTCTGATAGTGATAATATTGGGGAACATTCAAAAATGTCATGTTTATGCATGGAGTTTAACAGATCACATGAAGGGCTTTCATAGTTACTTCAAAAAGACAATGTAACATGATAGAAACTGTGAAGATGCCATTGCTTATTTGTTTTCTTTCATATTTTCCTCTTACTTGGTGAATGCATGACCTGGAACACTCGATATACATGTCTGATCCAGAGCGATGACTTCCTAAGTAATAAACCAATATTATGACTGCCCTGGAGTTTACACTCAAAAAAAAAAAAAAAAAAAAAGTCAGCAATGACATTTCATATATTTCTCTTTTGCCAAGTGCTTTTAAACCACTTCTTGTCTTCTACTTTTATGCCGTTTTTAGATTTAAGCAATTTTTACACTTCGATGAAGGGCCTTTTTTATTCAGAAATAACTTTGTCAAGACTGGCTTGTTTTCTGCACCACATTCAAATCGCGCTGCCCTTGCGATCTGCAGCAAGTGTCAGTGCAGAGTTAACACCCCAAATGTAGGTCGCAGATGCAGTGCGTTTGTCCGCACCAGATTGCATGGTACAAAAGTACCATGAGATCCGGCTGTAGTGTGTTTCTAAAAGTAGTGCATGTGCTACTTTTGGTGCAGTGCAATTTCAGCCCATTCAAAATGAATAGGCTGAAATTGCACCACAAACAATTGCAAGTGAATCCCACAGGAACGCACAGTGCGTTCCTGTACGATTCCTGGTGTGAGCCGGCCCTTAGGCGTGGTTCACATCTGTGCGGGTGGTGCCGTAGCAGGACCCGCAGAAATACCTGCAGCTGCACCACCCACACAGATGAATGCGGGACCCGCAGGCTGGTACCGTTAATTCTAATGGCACGCCGCCCGCACTGGAAATCGCAACCGTACTGGGAACCTCGATTCCCGTGCGGGCTGAGATTTCTGAAGAAGTGCAGGGACTACATTGCTGCATGTCCCAGCGCACGGGCAGTCCGTGCAAATCGCGGCCCGCATTGCCGCACATAATATGTGAACATGGCCTAGAAGCCTAGAATCCAGCACTACACAACCTGCATAAGACTATATACGGGTAGCTGACAGATACATAGTTAAGCAACGGTTGAAAAAAAAAAAAAAAAGTCTATTAAAAATTAACAAAGGAAATGTCCTCCTTTTAACAATAAAAACAAAGAACTGACTAATTTACCAGGAGAGCAACTAAAGTTAAAACAAGAAAATATGGCTACCTCCATATTTGTCCTGTTACATATGCATGCTTTGGTTCTTGCTTTCTAGTGCTACATAATGGTTGTAAATTACTGCTCTCTCATGCTGCACGTCTATGAATTGGTTCATTGATACAGAATGTACTCACTGTCTAGCAGATGTCTCAGCTGTTGCCATTAAAGGGGAAGTTCCACTTTAAAGATTGGTCCCCCGCTCCCCATTAAGGATTGGCACCTTCTGGGGAGCGGATACCCGAAACTGACAGGTACCCGCTCCCACTCCCACTGCGATCGCCTAGGCGATCGAAAGCGGAAGTTGTCATCCTACCCTCCTTCCATGTAGTCTATGACACGTGACAAGTCCCAGAAGATGATGGGGCCATTCAGAAAGTGCAGCGCTACTCGCGCATGCACAGTGGTCACCCGTCTGTGAAGCCGCAAGCTGTCACAGCTGGGTGCCCACACTGAAGATGCCGGCGCCTGGAACACAGAACGGCTGGTGAAACGAGCTGTTCTTTTTAAAAGTCAGCAGCTACAGTTTTCGTAGCTGGTGACTTTTATTTTTTTTTTACAGTGTAAGTGGAACTCCGCTTTAATGGCAAAGTAAGAGTCTCTTGCTCGCCCACCCACACACCCACTTACCTTGTCCATATTCCCCCCATAATTAGTTACTACAAGAGCCAAGGTTTGAGCTGCAAAGGTGTGAATAAGTGGGTTTGGGTATGGGCTTGTAAGAGACGGTGACTTTGAGCTTGATTTACTAAAACTGGAAAGTGCAAACTCTTGTGCAGCTGTGCATGGTAGCCAATCAGCTTTTAACTTCAGTTTGTTCAATTAAGAAAAAAAATGAAAACTGATTGGTTTCTATGCATAGCTACACCATATTTTGCACTCTCCAGTTTTAGCAAAACTTTGATGGGCAAAGTGAAAGAGTCTGTTTTATGGAAAGAGCCAGACTGATTGCAAATGGTGTTTTACTTACTCTTTTTACTATTATACAAACTGCTGTATTTAATACAAGAACAAACCTAATAAAATATTACAAAGAAAATGTGAAAATAACAAAAAAAATTATATTAATGGAAACATTGCGCTGATAGCTCAGAATATGTACTGAAAAGGCATTCCAGGTAATATTGGGATCAGAAAGTTAGCAAAGGTTGATATTGATATACACTGTAATAGAGACTGTGGGGTTTATTTACTAATGCTGGTTCACTCAGAATCTCATGCCCCTGTGCATGGTAAGCCAATCAGCGTCTAACCTCAGCTTGTTCAATTAAGCTTTAGCAATAAAACCTATAAGTTGATTCGTTTCTGTGCAGAAGTGCACGAGATTCTGAGTGAACCAACTTTAGCAAATAAACCCCTGTGTGCCTAATATATAGTAAATGGAACCACTGGTATTTAAACATTCTTTTGCACTGCAAAAATGTAGGTTCCAAACATTCTGAAAACCAAAACCAGGGCTACACATAAAAATATTTAGACCCAAAAAGCCAAATTAATTTAGGTTCCTTGCTGTACTGGTCTAAGGAATCCTATTGCTATTGGAACATGTTCCAGCAGTAAAAGATGATTGTATATATATTGGCTCCAGTGCCAATTTTGGAGTGGCCTTTACTGGTCTACCTGGGTGCCTGCCACATAAAAATGTTTCTTTTACTGCAAAGTACACCAAAAGGAATAGTGCAGGGAACACAGGGAATGGGGCTATATGGTTCCTGCATCAGTCTTGATGACATCAAGGCTCCCATGCACATCGCTTGATGGAGAGGGTGCTTAGGCTCCTCTGTTGCTAGCTCAATCCCCGCAGCCTAGATCAGTCCCCAGAGTCTCTTCTCCCCCATACTCTTGGAGGTCTAAGGGTCTTCTGATGTCATCCAGACTGATGAAGGAACCATAGCCCTGCACTGGACGTGAGGAAGCAGAGGGAGAGTTCACTTCCAGAGTGCCATCTGCTGCAGGAGTGGAGGATCAGTATATTGTCCCATATCTGGTGCGAGATGGCGGCCTGAGGAGTGCTGAGTGGAGATACCTGTGACTACCTGGTGTGCTGGCTGATCCCCGACAGGAGCTGAGTTGTGACCCATCTATCCATCGAGTGTTCTCTACCTTAAGCGCTTTTTAGACCTTTAGATTCTTGTAAGAGGCTCTGATATCCCTCTTGGTGGCGCACACTTGGTTGAATAGTGGAGGCACAAGGTTTTTCTGGGTATTTCCAGACGCACACAATTGGTTTTCCACTTTCTATGAACTTTTTGGGATTATTTATTTGTCCATTATTTGAGTGTACTTGAAATGTGGATTTATTTATTAATGAATTTATTAATTATGATGTGAACTGTTTTATGCACTTTATTATATTAGGTTCACTTGTTTTGTGTATTAATATACAGCGCAACACATTTTGGTGAATTTACTTTGTATTGGTATGTGTAGATACAGTGCTTGACTCAAAAAAACACACCAAAAACACATCCGCAGTGCTTTTTTGCCTTGTTTCCACTCGCTGCAAAGGGAGGTAGGTATGTGTGTGGTGGTGTTGGTTTTTTTTTTGTTTTTTTTTGGGGGGGGGGGGGGGGGGTTTAACAATGCCAAGTACTGTGCAGGACTTCTAAAAAAGGAAAAAAAAAAAAAAAAAACGCACTAACTGGTGTGAAGAGCTCCATAGGATTTAATGGTCATGCATTTTTCTTCCGCTTTTGGCAAGGCAAACATGGAAGAAAAACTGATCAGTGTGAAAGCCGGTCAAGAATACACATGCCTTAAAGGTCTAGACAATATTTGTTTATCTTGAGTTCAGCTTTCATGGTTTGCCGCCCACCCACAGTACATGCACTGTAGGTGGGCAACACAGCCAGGCTAGGAGACGTACCTGTATGTTGCTCCCTGGCTTCTGGGTTTCATGCACTAGCCCCCTTCTGACCTGTGCTGTGATTGGACACAGCACAAATTTGTCAGCAGGTTTCAGCCAATAAAGTGACATCACATGTGGCCCCACCTCCTTGTGCCATCATTGACCCAGCATGCCCCGGTTGATGACGCCACAAGGAGGTGGGGCCACACGCATGATGTCACTGGGTGGCCCTGCCCCTTACATATTTAAGAACAGTCAAGCCAGCGAAGCAGGTAGCTAGCAACGGGAGCGGAGCTTTTTTTTTTTTTAATTTTTTTTTTGGGTCGGCGGCGGACATCGTGATTGACATTGGATCTACTGCGGGGGGGGCATTCTTTTTTTGTCAAAGACCATGTCCTGTCTTTTTTCACACACTTTATTTTTTGTGAATGGGTAGCAGGACAATGTATCCCATACTCATTCACATAGGGGAGAGGGCCGGAATCTGAGGGCTCCTTTGTTAAAGGGGGCTTCCAGATTCTGATAAGCCCCCTTCCCACAGACCCCCACAACCACTGACCAGGGTTGTGGGGAAGAGGCCCCGTGCCTCAAAGCACCCCCCCCATGTTGAGGGCATGTGGCCTGGTATGGTTCAGTGGGGGGGGGGTCGGAAGGGGCCCGCTCTCTCATCAATTTTTTTAACTTTTCCCTCCCCCCCTCCTGACCCGCCGGGCTGCATGCTCGGATAGGGGTCTGGTATAGATCTTGAGGGGGACCCCCCACACCATTTTTTTAT